TTTTTTTTTTTTTTTTTATTTACAAAAACCACCGGGAACCCGTGGGAGGGTTGTATTGGCAACTAGAAGAGGCTTACTGTCCTAGAACGATCACACACGCACTCGTCATTGTACACCGCCTCCTCTGGCGGGCAGCCATTGTACGCCGACCAAGCATGCAAGCCAGTTAAACAAGCGAACATACAGACACGAGGGGGAGGACTCGTCTTAGAAACTGCACGTGTCCGGTCGAACTGTGTCCATCAGGGTCGAACGGGACGCTGTCGCAAGCCGATGATTCTCTGTGCACTATAGCTGAAAATTGGAAGGTAGATTGCGTTTGCTAATCAGATTACAGGATGTTTAACAGGCTGACGAATGACGCGGTCTCTTTTAAGAGGGTTAAATGAGAGTTGGAATGATGTGGCTGGAACCGTGGCTGTTCAGGAACGATTGCATGAAAGACATAGAAGTTTCTAGAAAAGAAAGTCGAAACGATCGCGAAGGATATATCGATGATTTGAGGTAGATGGACGTGAGAGATTCGTCGAGAAATGAATTTTTATGGGGAAAGATGGTTGACTCAGAGGTTCAGAGATTAGGCTGTACTTAAAACTATGGCAAACGTGGGAGTACTATGTTAATTTCGAAAACACGAGAATTTAAATGAGAAATCAAATGTGGCTCGTATATCAGCTAAATCACGAGGGATCGAAGCAAAGAATTGTAAACTTGCAGAATTGCATGAAAGACATGGAAGTTTCTAGAAAAGAAAGTCGAAACGATCGCGAAGGATATATCGATGAAATGAATTTTTATGGGGAAAGATGGTTGGTTCAGAGGTTCAGAGATTAGGCTGTACTTAAAACTATGGCAAACGTGGCAGTACTATGTTAATTTCAAAAACACTCAATGAGAATTTAGGTGAGAAATCAAATGTGACTCGTATATCAGCTAAATCACGAGGGATCGAAGCAAAGAATTGTGAACTTGGATGTAACAGATGTTCAAGAGAAACCGCGGGGGATACATCAACAATTTTCTTTACATTTATGGCTGCGGAATAGTAGACAAATTAAACGGATCAATATTATATTCTTCAAACGCATGTACCTTAAAATTACATTATCCGAGTGTCTCTCTGATGCCTTGTCTGACCCTTTGCAATCTTTAAAATATCAAACAACAAGGTGAAAGAAAATTTTCGTCTCGTACTTGAGAACGTAGATGAAAACAAATTTGAACGATCCAAATAAAAGACGGGATGGATGAAGACGAGTTAAACGCAACAATCGGTAATATTCATTGTAAATAAAGAACGGGAACGTTAATCAACGAAAATGTGGATGAGCCGGGAGGCTAGGTGAAAAGTAAATAACCGCAGCACTATATTGGAAGCACTATAATTGCTACCCATCTGCAACTGAAATCATCAATTGTATTATATACACCGAAACGGACAGATTGCTGCATCTGAAATTCTTAAAATTATGCACAGCGAGCTTCTAAAACGATCAACATCGAAAAATATCGGGTCGGCTATACAATATATGTATGTATATATGTATGTATGTGTGTATGTGTGTATGTATGTATGTATGTATGTATGTATGTATGTATGTATGTA